TCTTTGTATATGTTGTTTTTTGTTCTGTATTGTTTTTGTTTTTTTTGTAAAATTTATAAAACTTTTAATTAAAAAAAAAAAAAAAAAAGTTAGACAGGAGTTTTATAAAACATGTATCCTTTACTATATATAAAATTTCCACTGCTTTACCTCAAGGCTGTGTTCACACGACACCTTCAGCCTGGGCAAATGCATTCTAGTCTAACATTTTAGGCTTACGGTTCAGTATGGCCTGCAAACCCAGAAAATAAGCAGAGGTAAGCATCCCAGTGTCTTTCCAACTCTTATTTTCACTTCTAGCCTTAATGGCAGTATATCAGAAATCACAGACATTCAGGTTTACAGATTGTAATGCGGAAGGGTTACAGATCTGGGGAATGGGGCAGTTTCCCATTTGGTAGGAAATCTTCCTGCTCTCCTCCTTACTTTTCTCCTCTCTCTTTTTCAAAGAAGGCCACCGTAGTACCATGACATTTTAAATGGAGGCATCTTAAATTGAGCTTAGTGTGTGATGCTAACTCAGCTAAAGATTGACTTAGAGTCTGAAAGGAGCTAGAGGGGCAATAGTTACATTTGTGAAAGCCTGGAAAGAGCTCTAGACTCAGAAGTAAATTAGGTAATATGATAAAAAAAAAAGCTATTGCTTAATTCAGACAGAAATTGTACATCTAAAGCTGGGGTGGGGAACGACAGCCCCTTTATGACTTGTGGACTTCAACTCAACTTCAGCTCCCAGCTCAGGAAGTCTAGGATTTGAAGTCATAAAGGAGCCATGATCCCTACCTCTGATCTAAAGTTACTATTATTATGAGGGGCAGCTTTTTCCCCCAGGAACTTCATCCCAATTGCAAAAAGAAAACAAACAGCATAACAAAATCAAAATAGCTTTTTTTATAGATTTTCTTGCTGAACAACCTAGGACATGTCATTAGTCCTCCCTTAATCTCATTCCAAGTGATTTGGGGGAGCAAAGCACTTCTTGTTACTGCCAGCTAACCATTCTTGATTTTCCATTGCTAACTTCTACACCTTCCATCCTGAAGAAATGTTGTCCCCTCTCTACATATTTATAAGATTCTAGCTACTTAAAAGCATGAAAAAACAAACTCCAGGTTATAATAAACCAGCCTGTTTAATATAAACAGACCTGTGGTTAAAAAGAGTTACTAAGCTTTCGTCCAGCCAAAAAACTGCCAGCGTCATCAGAATAACAGGAGATTGGGAAGGTAGCTCATATAGCCTCCTGCCTCAGCACCCAGCTCCTTGAGCGTGTCATCGGCCCGTTGATTGTGTTAATCCTTATTGCACCGAGTTGTTCCGCATCAGGCAAACTCTCTTTGACTCCACTGGTTGTTTTACAATCCTCAAGTGCTCTTTTTGAGCATGTGCAAGCACTTAGAGGGCAGCTGTCAACCCGTATATGATGTCACAGTTGTGACTGCTGCCTGTGGATGGCTCTAGTTTGAGCTGATACAAGGCAAAAGATTTCTCCCATATTTGGGTAACAGGGTGTAACATACAGCATTATATATATATATATATATATATATATATATATATATATATATATATATATATATATATGAACGTTAGTGACCTAAATATAAAAGAGTAGCCTTCTACACCTTTAATAGTCGAGTACAAGCTGTGCCACGGGAAACTCCTTATATTATCCAGCTATTAAAAGAAGAAGACTCTTGCTTCTCTTGGCACCTACCACCCAATCAATATCAAGAAACACAGTGATACATCATTACAGCACTCTAGTTGCACAACACTATGTCTTAATTAAGTGAGCCAGATCCATTGGAGGGGAAAGGAGAACAACAGCAAGGTGTCATGTATGGGAATTTAGGAAGACATATAACACTGAAGTTTTTAATCCTGTTTTATTTTACATACTCTTATTGGAAGGTTTCAAATGATGGACTGAGTCAAATTTTTCTTACATTTTGTGTAAAAATGATTCTGTCTTGCTGTTCATTGTTTTGAATAGTCCCATTCAAAGGAACCCATGCACATCTACCAATTCAAAGTCTACCTGGCTGGGCTAGAAGGTAAATGGTTGATCGTTTGTTGTCTAAATACAGTTGTCTGCTGCCTATCCATAGCACTCTAATCCAGTGGTTCTCAACCTTTTTAATGCCGCGACCCCCAACCGGTTGTAAGTCGAGGACTAAACCAGTCGTAAGTCTAGGACTATCCAACTGGCCGTAAGTCGAGGACTTTTCCTGCCCGGGAGCGCTGCGCATGCATGATGCCACCCCCTGCGCTGGCTGAGGCGTAGCTGGCAAGTGGCAGAGATGGAGCAAGCCGATCACCGGCTGGGCCACCAGCTGGCCCAGCCCAAGGGAGCTAAGGCACCCACCGGAAAAGGGGAAAAAATGGCAGACAGCCTTGCTTGGCGACCCCCGTGAAATGGTCGATCAACCCCAAATGGGGTCACGACCCATAGGTTGAGAACCACTGCTCTAATCATTTTTTTCCCCTTTCTGTTCATTTGTATCCAATTCTCAGATACTACCTGGACAACTCCCTGCAGTTTTCTAGGCAAGGCTTTTTGGAAGTGGTTTGCCAATGCCTTCTTCCTTGGGCTCAGAGAAAGTGATAGGTTCAAGAGCACTCAGCTGACTTTCTACCTGGATGCCTTAATCACTGCACCAAACTGTCTCTCTCTAATCAGTTTAGAACGCATAATTTTTTTAAAAAAACCGTCAGCTTAATTAAAAACATTCACAACCAACTATGAAACCTTGTTAACAAAACCAGTTCCTTCTCAAAATAAGGCTTTTCCAAAAAGCTGGACCTGTCCCACCTTGGCACATTTCCCACACCTGCTATGTCTCCTTCAGAGTGCCATTTGCTTCACCCAGTTTACATGGGAACTGACTTTTCTTGCAAGAACCATATCTAGTAGATTAGGGGACTGGAGGCTAAAACATATAAGGAACGGTTGCTAGAATTGGGTATGTCTAGTTTAACGAAGAGAAGGACAAGGGGGGACATGATAGCAGTATTCCAATATCTCAGGGGCTGCCATAAAGAAGAGGGAATCAAGCTATTTCCAAAGCACCTGAAGGCAGGACAAGAAGCAATGGGTGGAAACTAATCAAGGAGAGAAGCAACCTAGAACTAAGGAGAAACTTCCTGACAGTGAGAACAATTAATCAGTGGAACAGCCTGCCTCCAGAAGCGGTGAATGCTCCAACACTGGAAGTTTCTTAAGAAGAGACTGGACAGCCATTTGTCCGAAATGGTGTAGGGTTTCCTGCCTGAGCAGGGGGTTGGACTAGATGACCTCCAAGGTCCCTTCCAACTTTACTACTACTATTATTATTATAGTCGTGTTTTGTTAAAAATTATCATTTCCCACCAGCCCAGGTAGACTGAAACGTCCCAGAATAAACCTCTCTGCCTTTGTGGCCTCTTTTGAGTGGGTTAAATGCATCCCATCATCTTTTATTCATGTCCAGTCACACAAATATATGATATAAAGCTGCAGATTATTACCATGCCATAGGATTATATAGTGATTGGCACTAATATGGTTATATTCTGTGGAATATGATTATGATTGTGGTGCATAGAATATGTTCATTTTCTCATAATGGTTGCCCCAGTAGCTAATTCCTGTATTTAAGCACAAATTTCATAGATATGGCTAGCTAAATCTGATCTTATTATTTCTCATAAATTCTTTCTGTCCCTTATCTGCATCAGTGTGCATAAATATTATATATATATATTTTTCTAAGTCACATGGTTCTGTATTCTTTTTTTACATATATTTTGCAGCCCATCTTCTCCACCAGAAAACATAACTATGTTTTTTTTTCCCATTTCCAGTATTCCTTCTTAAAATATACCTTTTATATTATTTTTTCTCAGTTTTGTTAGTAAAACTGTATTACAAAATCCTGAGGAGTGCAAATGTTGGCAGTTGGTTGGACCATTGGTTCATTGGTATAATTTTATGTTATACATTTTTTTTCTCTGCTCAGCCACAGATGACCAAGCTAGTCAGGAGAGGTTTCATCTCTTCTTCTTTCATGATCTACGATGGAACATCTCTCCTTCTTCGGCTGGTCTCCAGCAGCTCACAAAGTGGTGTCATCCATCAAGGCAAAGAAGGAAGACCACAGACAAAAGTTGAAATTGAAAATGGGAGTTAACGATACATTTGTTTGCTTTTTAGAGTGACCATCTTTTTAGTCATCCTTACTACTTCAATAGGAGGCTATAGAAGCATCTGAAAGGGAAGCTTTAGTTTAGATACCTACCCTGAACAGGAGGCTAAACTCAGTGGCCTTGAATCCTATGATTTTATGGAAACTGAACAGTTTTGAAATCACCATTGGGCCTTTCCCAATTCTCTCCAGCCATCCTAGAATCAGCATGAAAATTATGCAGGCATGAAATCTCTTCTGCCTCTATTGGCTCTGTTTCAAGTTCCTGCAAGCATTTGAACTCCTTCCAAGCTAATGTAGTGACAATGCCTAACTGATTTTCTACATCCTGAGGCTGCCCTTGGACAGGGTGGGGGAAAGGGCAAAAAAAACCACCTTAACAGAATCTTGTTGGATTGCAGCGCCAATATTAGCTCCATGAAATCAATAATAAAGAACAGACACAGCCAAGGAGGACTTAAACCTGTGTCATTTAGAGGCCAGGGATAAATAATTTCATTGGCACATGTCGGGGGAAAAAAGGTTGCCAGGACTTTTTGCCATTGGGCAAAAAGGAACAACTAACAGCTTTACCCTAACTATTAATGTGGAAAAGGTAACAATCACTAGAATAATGATGTGTCTGCATAATTACTGAAATAGTGCTGTGTTAGCAGTATGTTACTAACCTAATGTGCATTGCACTTGGATACAATGTATGTAGCAAACTCTAACCCGTGAGAAACTAACCTAATATATTACAATGTGTATTTCAATGTGTATTCCTGAGAAAAAGGAAAGTATAAAACTGAAGTCTGAACCCGCCCTCGGGGTTCAGAATTGCTTGTTGCTATAGCTTCTGAACTGCGCAATAAATCTCTCTGCTAAAAACCCTCTGAACTCGTAAGAGTCCTTTCGTTTTCCACAAGATTATGTTTCCTCCCCCCAGATATTATAATGATGCACAGAGTTTCACTGGCTTCAGAATCATTTGTACTAACACTGGCCCGCTTAGGAAGGTTTCCTCTGAGGATTCTGGATTTTCAGAAGCTCAATGAAGTATGTACAACTCTGTCCATAACCACCCATTGTCCATATAGTCAAGATGTCTAAAAAAATTTAAAAATCCCTGCTAGAAGATGAGGAAAATAATTTCCTTTTTTGAACTGGTAAGTCATTGCAGAGGACAGCTGCTAGTTTGCCTCTAAAGCAGAAAAGAGGTGAAATTAAAGAGAGGAGGACATTAAAGAAAATTGTGGGCGTGGTGGGATTGTAAACTACCATACACTACTTGCAATAGCAACCCTGCTTTGCTTCCCAGTTCTTAAAACAAGCAGGGAGGGATTTCAGGAAGGGGAACCGAGCCAGAGTATTTATCTCTTAGTCAGGTTGCCTCATTCCTTTTCAGCCCGCCTTATCGGCTTCATCAGTGACCACATCCCTTTCACTATTCAGCTCCAAGTTAATGTTTGATGGAAACGGCTGCCTTTCAGCCACAGAGAACAGATCTTGTGGGAAAGGGCAGAGACAACAACAGTATTGCTGGTCTGGTTAGCTGTCCTTTAGGGAGAATTGGGAGCTGTCTCCAGTGTTGAGCATTTCCTGTCTTCTGTCTCACTCAAAACAGGTGAACAAAAGCTTTCCTCAGCTTGTGTTTTTCTCTCTCTCTCTCATTGTTGCTAATGTGATTGAGGCACAGGACTAATTCAATAAGCATGGGGTGTGGAGTGTGACAGAGGAAAGTTTTTATTAAACTTCATTTCTGTTCGTCCTTTCTTAGAACCGGTCTAGCTTATGCTTCAAAGTAAGTATGTTGACTGTAAAATGTAGTAGAGAGTGACCTTTTTTCCTTCTTTCTGTTTCTGTACTTAGTTTTCCTCATGGATGCACCAAATGAGCAGGATTGTTGGCACCTCATTGATCACAGCCACGTGAAAGATTTTGAAGTAGACCGATGGGTCAAGATCACCCTTGCCCTCATCTACAGTTTTATCTTTGTGGCAGGGATCTTGGGCAACAGTGTCACCATCCAGACTTCCAAAATCCTGCAAAAGAAAGGCTACATGCAAAAAGCAGTGACCGACCACATGATAAGTCTAGCATGTTCGGATCTCTTGGTGATCTTACTGGGGATGCCTGTGGAATTCTACAGCATCATATGGAATCCTTTCTCTACCACCAAAGGAGATATAACCTGCAAGTTGTACAGCTTCCTTTTTGAGGCTTGCAGCTATGCCACTGTGTTACATGTGGCCACCCTAAGCTTTGAAAGGTACATTGCCATCTGCCATCCATTTAAGTTCAAAGCTACTTCTGGAACCTATAAAGTGAAGATCCTCATTGCCTTTGTTTGGATTACATCTGTGCTGGTCGCCCTACCCCTTCTCTTTGCAATGGGGGCAGAGCACCCATTGGTAGACATCCCAGACCATCAAGGGTTGACTCTCTGTGAAAAGTCCAAGGTTCAACGTCTGCCTGAATTCAGTTTAAATGTGACAATATGTACCAATTTATCATCCAAATGGAGAGTGTTCCAGTTCAGTATTTTCACTGCCTTCGTTGTGTATATCATAGTATTGGTATCTGTGACATTTATGTGCCGGAATATGATTAAAGTGTTGATGGTCTACAAGCAAGCAACAGTGGAGGTAAAAGGAAGGGGAAATCAGTCCCAATTTCTAAGGAAAGCTGAAAGTTCAGAGAGCAGAGGATCCAAAAAACAGACTCTTATCTTTCTAGGTAAGTTCATAATGGAATTACCATATATTGATGGGAGAGGGATAGTAAGCAGGAAGAAATGGGACCATATAGTTACAAAACAAGAATGAAATGGAGGAAGAAGGATTGCCTGAAATGGGAGATTAATGGCAGAAGTGAAGTAGGCTTTATTCTTTTTCATATTTACTACTTCTTATTCATTATGGAAACATTCCTGCTCAATAAGAAGCAAGTGACACAAAAATGATATGGAATCTCTGGGGTGTAAGCATCATGATTGTGTATTTAAGAAGAATGGTTTTATTTCAGTTGCATTCCCTTTCTCTTTATGTGCAGAATCCATTGTCTGAGTTTTTCATCGTCTCCTATATGTATTTTAGGACATTTTCCCATCATTATTTGAAGAAAACTCTCTATTTTTGATTTACAGCCATTGTAACCCCAGATACTCTCACTGTGTAAGGGTTGAAATTTTGCATCTCTTCAGTTAAGTATGTCCTAGGTGAGGGTGGAGTTCCTAGAATTCAATTTGCTTTTATAGTGATGTTGCTTGATAACACTTAATTCTTTCCTCTTAGGCCAGGGGTGGGGAACGTTGGCTCTTGTATGACTTATGGACTTCAACTCCCAGAATTCCTGAGCCAGCCAAGTCATAAAAGAGCCAATGTACCCCACCCCTGCCTTAGACAAATAAGAAGTTTGATGGCCACACAGCATTTCATAAGCAACAAGAAAGAAAGGATGGAATGGGGGTCTAAAATAGGAAGTATGATAAATATATTGATCCATGTTCATTTGAAATATGCTGGAAAAAAATCAGGCAATTATTTGAAATTCGTATCTTTCCAATACAGATCTTGTCAGAAATAAATTATTTCTAAATTTGTAGGATTTACTTCTAGAAAAGAAAGTGAAGGTTTACTGACATAGGCTACAAACCTGAGCACCAAACTTGGAAAAAGACTTCCTGATATTGTTGGCCTTCTACATGAATTTGTTCAGGGTCTCTTTTAACTTATTATGTATTTAATAATAATGCTGACAGTCTATTTATAATCTGCATAATCTTGGGTTTTGCAAAATCAATTTGTGACATATATCCCATCAAATTCTACCACATCCCATCAATTTCTGTCATATAGCAGTGGCTGTATACAGTAAATGCAATTAATCAATTAATTCAGACTTTCAGAAAACTGGCCCCAAAATGTATATTTAAGGTTGCCATTTTATTTCATTGGCCATGCTCCCTTGTCTTTAACATAGCCTCATCATGAAAACCTTTCCTGGTACATGCTGAATTTCTCTCATCTGAATATGCGTTGAGGGCCTAACACCAAGGCTACCATACCTGGACTGTAAAGACCTAGATAATCATTGAACAACAACTTTGTGGTCATCTGGTAGTCATCCATATGTTTCCAGTTATGGTAATCATAGCCTTGGGTTCATCTGAAGATGCCAGTTTTGCAGGCTCTGAAACCTCCTTGGGTTTCATCATTGCAGGATTTATATATGAATAGTTACTTTACTTTTGAACTGCTACACTTGTGCAGGTCTCTCTCTAAGTGTGACAGGATATATAGTTATGTGTTTGATAGAAGCCATGCATTTGCCCAAAACTCTTAAGTGGAGGTTATAAATATAATATGCAATTGAAGGTATTGGATTAGAGGTAGTTAAAAAGATAAGCATTCTTTCTTCACTTTCTTTCAAATTTACACTGATTTTAGTAAAGCCTTGATAATTCTTAAATGGCTTTCATATGTTGTTCTCTTCTGGAATTTTTTCTGCATTGTATTTATTAAATGGCCATTACATTATATTTTGCTTTTTCCTTGCCACATTCTCTTACTCTAAACCAGACATGTCAAACTCGCGACGTCGCGTGATGTCACACAATGTATTGGAGCTTTTTCACCGTTGTGGCAATGGGGTGGGCGCATCTCCGGTATGATGAAACTGGCCTGCAGGCCGGCAGTTTGACACCCCTGCTCTAAACCTTATTAAGTTGTCCTCTCCCCATCCTGAGAATCATGCCAGACTGTCATTCATTGGGCATTAGCACCTTATTTTGGTTTCTTGACTTTTCATCATGTTCTGTCTGAATGGTTGCCATTCCTTGTTTATGCTGGCTTGCCTGCTACAATTATCTTCTTCTATTAAATTATCGTACGAGTGTGCACATCACCAAGCCAGGTAATCTTTTGAATGCCAATGAGAGTCCACCAGATTTTGGGGGGGTGAAGTGTGGGGTAAACAAATGAAAATACATTAGCAACTATTGAGTATCTAAGTAGATTAGCAATTATATCTTATACTTTCCTAACAGTTTGTGCTGTTACTATGATCTGTAGCTAACAAAACCTTCACTATTTAATTGACTGCAAAATAAGTGCAGTGAATATTGCAAATTCCCTTCCCTTCATTTTGGGGAAAAAGAAACAAGAAAATGTGGATATTCTGTTATAATTCTGACCAGACACTAAAAATAAATAAAGCAAATAAGCTGGCATATTGTTTATTGCTTGTTTATTATTGCACTAAAAAGAATTGTCCATAAATGTAACTGTGAAAATTAATATCCCATTTTCAGCTGTGGAAGGTACTTTTCCTGTATTATTTTAGTAATCCCTACTAGGAGACCAAATGAACACTGAACAATGCTGAATTCAGGAAACTAACTTACATATTTGTACTTCATGGTGGGGCAATGTTGACTCACAAGTAACCACAGAGTTCATAGTTAATAAGAAATTCTGATTCAGGCTCTAGATATTTTGCTCAAAGTCTTTTTAATTCTTTACAGTGTCTTTCACCTGTATCTGTTTTAGTATCTCAGGAGATTTGTTTGAAGAACCCAGGATATAACACTGTTTTTGCTATTTTAACAAATAACTAACATGTTAACATATTTTTCTTATGGTTTTTCATTCCATGGCATACTTAATAGGCTTTCAGTATATAGTTCCATAAGCTGATGTCATTCATAGCACTCTATCCTGTTATATATTAAGCAATATGTTTTGCTTCATCATTTTGTGAGTTGGGTTTTTCTCTTTTGTTGATATGCTTCAGCTAATGTGATTAATCATTTTATAACCTGTGCTTCTGAAGTTCAAAAATGTATTTCCCTAGGATTTAAGTAGTATGTGAACCCAGTGATCAACCATTTGTAGGGTGGATGGGCATTATCTCTCTTTCTATTGGGACAGGCTTTTTCCTATCTGACTTCATCTATCTGTAGCTTAAGACAGTGGTGGCAAATCTATGGCAGGGGTGCCAGAGGTGGCACTCAGAGCCCTCTCTGTGGGCATGCGCGCTGTCGCCCCAGTCCTAGGAGGCCTTCAGCTGGGTTTTATAAAACCTTTTCACTTTAGGCCTCCGCTGCCATATGCAAAAAAAAAAAAAAAAGGTTCAATCAGTCAATTTCAACTTCTCGCAGGAAAAAAAAAGATCTTGCAAAGTTGGAATTGATTGATTGAACTTTTTAGTCCCACCCAGTCTGCCGTTACCACCGCAGCCATGCCCAGCCAATGGGCCATGCCCACCCGATGATGCATAAGTGGGTTTTGTGTTGCAGTTTGGGCACTCGGTCTCTAAAAGTTTCGCCATCACTGGCCTAAGACATCCATCTACTGTAGTATTCTGTTATATATTCAAGATGGACAGGGTTTAATACTCATATGTTATGTATATGTAAGGATGTAGGTCTATACATACATTGTATATAGTATGTTTATGTGTGTGTCATGTATGTGCTCACTTTGAGAGTGGGCAGCTAAATTTCATTTTTGATGTGTGTCGTTGTGCCCACAATAAAAAATGACAATAAAGGTTATCTTATCATCTTATCTTATCTTATCTTATCTTATCTTATCTTATCTTATCTCATCTCATCTCATCTCATTTCATCTCATCTCATCATCTCATCTCATCATCTCATCTCATTATCTCATCTCATCTCATCTCATCTTGCATAACAGCACATGGCACAGATAGTTTCACTTTTGTTCCTAAAAACAAATAGTCGCCACTATTGCAAACAATATAGTATGCTATATTCTGGAAAAAAATACATTTTGCTTATGTGCTATCAAGTTGACATCCACTCTTAATAACCACATTGGACACATTCTCCAGAATGATTTGTCTTCCAGCTGGCCCTTCAGGTCTTTCAACAGTATACCCACTGTATTTGAGTCCATCTATCTTGCTGTTGGTTGTCCACTTCTCTGTCCTTCTGTCTTTCCCAACAAAGGCAAGTTTCTCAAGAGAGTTGAGTCTTTACAGAATGTGTCCAAAATATGATAACTGTGTCAGGTCATTTGTGCCTTAAGTGAGGATTCTAGACTGAGTCTCCTATTTGTTTGTTTTCTTGGCTATCCATGTTATCTTCTGACTCCTGTTACCAAAATACTATTAGTATTTCAACTTATAATATTTTCAGTATTGGCTAATTATGATCACAGTGAAGTAAGTTTTCTCTGTTAGGAAAATACATTATTTTTTTGTAAAAAGCTGCCTTGTTGCCTGCAGTGGCTCACACGTTGTGCAATATATTTAGCATGAATAATGCTTCCTCAGACCTATGACTATAGTATACCATATCCACTATGTTGCATCACCTTTCTCTGGTTGATGACCAGCAATTGAACATTTTTAAAAAAGGAAATCATTACAGATATTGCTTTAATGGGTTCTTATCTGCAGGTAGTTTTGCATTCCTACCTAAAAATATATGTGTTTGTGTGTATGTGTATATACACAATGAAATGAAGCAGTAAAGAATTTAGAATATTTTCCTGGATGGCTTCTGAGATGCATTTCAGATGACTCTTTAATATGTCTCACTAATTAACTTTGATTAGAAAATAGATTAATGAACAGGATATAGAAATAATGGCTTGCATGCAGGAGAATAGCACATTTGAAGTTGTGGCTTTCATAGGAATTATGCTTTGGGCTGCTTTTAACCTAGACTAAATGAACTGATTGTTCAACAAATTGTTGAATTTAAA